CCCAATTGCTCTAATTATGAATGTTTTAAATATTCTTTTGTTTTTTTAATAGAATTTCCTATTATAATTACCTTATATATCCTACCATTTCAAAACCACATCTTTTTTTCTTTCAATTTTATTCCATTTTACTCTATTATCTCTGCATTTCAATTCAAAATATGAAAATGAATATCATTCTTAGGCCCGTTGTGTTCGCAGGATGGTCTGAAATCGATGAAGTGGCGTTGGCTAAAGCATACATTGACATTTTCGAAAATAGGCAGGTTACGCAACATATATCGTCATTTTTTTGGGAATTAGTTTTGGATCATTTGAAGCAGCAGCTTGGGAGTTCGGATCATTCAACACATCAAATTGCTTTCAAATGGGAAGATATACAGTAAGAATTAAGGGATATATACACTAAAGTCCCAATATTTTCATCGATTTGACAAGAAAGTCATAAACTTTATTTTTTTAACAGTAAAGTCCAAATTACCGGCAGTTTTTGACACTTTTACCCTTTTTTCCGGTTAGCCGGTAATTAGGACTTTTTTTGTAAAAAAAATAAAGTTTAGGACTTTCTTGTCAAATCGTCAATTAAGATTTACTGTCAAAAAAATAAAGTTTAGGACATTCTTGTCAAATCGTTGAAAATATTGGGACTTTAGTATATTTTCGTAACCCAAGAACTTTTAATTGTGACTTTTTGTTGCGGCACCGCTGTTTTTATTACCATCGTCATCTTTACCTTGGCACAATCACGATCAGGAGAAACATATGTAAAAGAGAGAGCGAGAAAGGGTGAAAAGTCTTGTAAAACTTTCTTCTTGCTTCGCCGCCAAATCTTGAACTAAAAAGTGGTGACAGATTATACACACACAAACAACACATGCCTAGTCAAAAAGGAAACACAACCCTGGTTCTTTCTTTCTTGATTATCTCCATTTTTTTAATGTCGGTTTGTTGAGATTAAAAAAACGATTTAACAAGAAGCAAATGTTAAGGATTTCAATAGGATCTAGCTGACTAAAGTCCCAATATTTTCAATGATTTGACAAGCTATTTTTTTGACAGTAAAGTCCTAATTGACGATTTGACAAGAAAGTCGTAAAGTTTATTTTTTTGACAAAAATGTCCTAATTACCGGCTAACCGGAAAAAAGGGTAAAAGTGTCAAAAACTACCGGTAATTTGGACTTCATTGTTAAAAAAATAAAGTTTAGGACTTTCTTGTCAAATCGATGAAAATATTGAGACTTTAGTGTATATATCCCAACAATTAAAAGAGTTCAATGTTGTTTTCACCTACAAGATGAACACCCGGGAGCTCGGAGTTTCCGACGAAGAAGTTTTAAACGTGACAAAAAGTGAGTATCACGAACAACATAAAATTAAAGATTTTCATTACGAGGCAGCGTGTAATATTTAAAAAAAACGCTTTTCTTTTTTTAGAATTTAAGTATATCTTTTAGTTTTCCGTTTATCGTTTGTAGGCATTACGAGGCAGCGTGTGATGTTTGTAGGCATAATCTGAATCGATCACTACAAGAAAATATGCATTTAATGACACATATTTGTAACGCCCCGATTCTCAGGTATTGTTTAAAAAAGAATTTAATTGGTTTCAAGGCCTACTCGACGAGTTGGTTGCCCTACTCGTCGAGTAGCAGCGGGTTGGTTCGCGTATTTAGTGGCGTACTCACCGAGTCCAAGAAGGGACTCGACGAGCAGGAGCTGGCAGATGAAACCCTAAATCCCGGGGTTTTGCACCTTATTTAAAGAAGCATAAGCCTCCTTTGGCCTCTTTGCAGTCCATTGAGAGTCCAGAAGAACCCTAACTCGAGTGTGTGTGTATTCTTTGGAAATTTTAGCTTGGAGGAAGATTTTTGGTGAGGGAATCTCTTGGGAAGCAAGCTAGTTGAAGCAAGAGCTTGTGGGTTTCAAGTTCTGCATCAGAAAGGGCTTGGAGGTATTAAATCGTTTTTCCCTATGCTACATGTGGTTATGACCTGTTAGATCGGAATCAGGATAGATAATATGTTATGCTCTTATGATCCGTAGGGATTGATATGTCAGTGACCTGCTAGGTCGGTGCTCTAGTTACGAGAGATTGCTATGATTGGTGATCAGTGAGATAGATATGTTTGATGCTTGTATATGCCAGTATATGTTAGTTACGCGCACATGGTTATTTGCTTGTTGCTTGGGTTGAGGCGGTCCTGCTTTGTGCTGAAGGCCAACATACCCTATGAGTGGTCCGGAGAGATTGTAGGCCCACGTGGCGGTCCAGTTACGCCGAAGGCTCGGGACAAATTTAGATAGACTGTAGGCCCTACAGGGCGGTCCAGTCAGGCCGATGGCCTAGTATGCATGTTGTTGATTGTCTGTTACTGATATGGTATTATCAGTGTGGTATTGGTATTTTGGGGGTAGCTCACTAGGCCCTCGGGCTTACAGTTTTCAGTTTATTGTTTCAGGAGATCATGGCAAGGCGAAGGCGTGACCGTACCGCTCCTCATATTTATGATCTGTTTATTAGGACACTCTGATGAATAATGATTGTAATACATTGATAATATGGATTACATATTCCTATAATTTGTAAAGTTTGTAAGTACGTTGAGAAAGTTCTTCACATACTTATTTACTCAAATCAACATCCACCTTGTAATTAACATCGATCCTGGATGAAAATGTAACAACCCTTGGTGACCATAAATATTTTTTTTGGAAACAAGCATATGCAACTAAGCCTAAATGGAGTATTAAGAAACAAGCAATAACCAATAAATATATACTTGAATTGTTCATTACCACATAGAGATTAAGAATTAAGATTTGAGAAAATTAAAACGCCATTGTGAGTTGGAACATACCTCAATGGAAAACCCTAGTTCCAACAACACCTTTCGATTTTGTGGCCCTATATGCACAAATCCTTCGATTTCAGTAAGAGACGAAACCCTAATCCTTCGATTTTGATTTCATGGCCTTGTAAGTAGAAACCCTTCAATTTCAGTAAGAACCGAAAACCCTAGTTCCAACAATAGTTAATTTTGTGGCCATGTCAGCACAAATCGTTCGATTTCATGTGAGAATTGAAGCAATGGGGATTGAACTATGGAAGATATAGGTCGATTAAGGGATGAGAAAAGCCCTAGTTCCTGGATTTTGTGAGGAAGGGACATCTTTGAAGTGTGGTTTAGGAATTATAAGACGACACTTAGACTAAGATGACATGCATATTTCATAAAGTGTATTACGTATTTTTTTTATTATGATACTGAAACATGACATATAAAAATGAGTGTTATGGTGTCATTAAAGGCCTATTTTTTAGTAAGTCTTTTCAAATCATATCTTAGACCACAATTAAGAGCTTAATTCTGCTTGAAAATGGTTAATGGCTCGAAGTCACATTTTAATTAGTCTTAATAAAAGCACTTCACGATGACTTACTACTTTGAGGCTTAAAGTCATAACAGGGCAAAAAGATTGTTAGGAGAATTACCTGAAAATTAGTTCTCATGTGCCAATTAAAAAAAAAAAAACCCCGATGGGAACTCAATATCTCGGTTTGCTCCTACTTACTAATTCGAGATTTTCTTTTAAATTTTTTGTCGTTGGTTTAAATTTGATCATACCTTATGGAAATTGATTTGGCTCGGTGGCCATATGTATTTTTGAACCGCTAATTCGTAATAAGCATGCGTACCATATGAAATATGTGAAATACCGTGTTTATTCATACCTTAATCCTCATTTTAGACGTATTCAATTTATCATGTATGGTATCCTACTATCCGTATTCGTGTCATGTTAACGTTTTTCCTTATGTAATACTGGAATCCTACTACCCGTATTTTGTCTCTCTTGTAAAGACATATTATATTAACGTTTTTCCATATGAAATACGGGAATCGATCGTACAACCCTTATTTTATTCTCGAATTATATTAATGCTTTTCTAGTAGTGTCTACTACTTATCAAAGTAATGGTTGTCCCCATTTCAACCTCTCTGTCCTTTAATTTCTTTTAGATTTTTTGTTGCTTTTGAGTATATCGATCATCATACGTGAGAATCTATGTTTGTCTATGTAGGTTTTGATTAAAATCTTGTTTTGATGGGAGGGTTTTTTTTCTTGATTTTCTTGGTTATCACTTGTTTGACATATTCCATGTATTGATTTTTCCTACATTTATTCTTTGATTGTAGTCCACTACAAGAAATTAGTGTATTACCGGCGACACGCGTCGCCGTTAATAGTAGCGTATGTCGCTGCTAATAGTATTAGTGGCGACGCACACTATTAGCAGCGACACGTAACGCGTAAATTACGTGTCGCCGCTAATGGCGTCACTACTATTGCCCTTATTTCTTGTAGTGTGTTAGAAAACTTGATTCTTCTATATTAGAAAATATGTTTTTTCATCGACTTCGAACACGTGTAAGGAGACTTAACGACATATTACATATCTAAATCAGAGTTAATGCCATGACATTGTGTGTAGCTAGCAAATTGCCGACATCGACATAGCTGCTGACACATCACATATAGATGTTGACATGGGCCTTTATTCATGAATCAAAAGCGTTGATCACTTGAGTTCCATAAACATTATTATGTTTAAAAGAGTTTCCAATTATATTAACGAGAACAACATTTGTATATCCAATCATGATGAAGTGTATAAAATTAATTCGATTTAATCCATTTGAAGAAATTTTTTATAAATTGTTTTAAAGGTATAATAAATATACTGTCCCCTTATTGACATAAAAAATCAAAAACACACTTACCCACTTGTACAAATTATACAGAATACACCAAGCGGAGATAACCGTATAGATTTCATTTATCATGCATACAATGATTTGTGAAACTAGCTAAACGACCCCTTTATAGTCTTTAAATAGGGCCTATATTATTGTTGATTTACTTTAAATAAGGCCGTTAATTAGAAAACCATCTTTCAGAACTCAGAATTGAGGGCAGAGAAGCCAATATATACTAGTTATAAACTTAAGAAATAAGTGCTACTTTAAACGGTTAATAAGTCGAACATACAATATTTCTAGGTGAACATTGATCCTTCTAAATCTACCACATAAAGTCAATGTGTAAAGACGCCACCTTTGACATATGCTTTCCATCGATCCCTTTAGTTGCTTTATAGTTTATAATGAGCATGGAATTTTTTCAAGCACTTGCAGCGCCTCTCTCATTAAAGGTCTCTTCAGTGGGGCAAATGACGCACAACTAAACCCTAACTTAAAACATGTTAAAAGCGAATCTTTTTTCTCGTACACGTCAGCAATAGTAAGCCCATCAACCATCTTTAAAATCTTGGTCTTATTGTCTTCGACGATTGATGAGTCCATGTTCCACTGAGTTAACTCGTTATCCAAGAACACCTTCCCTGAAAGAAGCTCAAGCAGAACGATCCCAAATGAGTAAACATCACATTTCGGGGTCTTCGTTGACTCGGGGGCATGATAAGGGGATGTGTTCCCATGTGAACTGATAGCAAAAGTACTGTTCTTAATCGTTGTTTCTTCATGTGATGAAGTTGATCTCTTGTTTCCATAGTTTCGAGTTGTAAAATTTGTTTTACCTAATATGAGCCATTCTAATCCAAAATCACTAATTACAGGATCCATTTCTGATGTCAGAAGGATGTTGCTTGGCTTTATATTACCATGGACATGTTTCTTGTCGTGAATATAGGATAGTCCCTTTGCAATCCCTTTTGCTATCTTGAGCCGGACATCAAAAGATAAATGGGATGCAGAAGATCCACCCATTTCTGCAATTGATAAAAACAATGAATGTTCGAGAAATCAACAATTTATTACAATTTAACAAGTGCAATCGCTAACAACTTACTATATCTTTAATTATAATTACAGTTGTTTTATCATATGTAACTCTACTCTAAACGATATATTTTTAATGATAAGACTGATGTTGGAGATTGATATTAAAAAAGTTTGCATATATGCAACGTACAAGAGAGTGGGGATGAAAATGTTTGGCATATTATTTGTTTTTTATGTATGGAAAGATAAGGTGAAATTGCAAAAGGCCAATCCTTTGAGAAGTGAGAACCACAAACAGATGCAACAGAGATATTCTTTTTGTTTTCATATAATTGGAGAGAAGCATATAAAAGTATATATATATATATATATATATATATATATATATATATATATATATATATATATATAGTTGAAAATACATAACTTATGTTCAAAATATAAAATTAAAAAGACTACTTACTGTATATATAACATGAAAATATATCAAAACCAGCAGATGAAAACTGTGGGTTGAAAACTATATCTATCCAATACTTCTCTTTATTTTTGTTAAAACTGATGTATCTCACAAATTAATTTAAAGCCCTAGAACTTAAAACCGAAAATGTGAGATATTTTCTATTTTCAGTTAATCTTTTAATAACACAATATGATTACTTAAGTTTAAAGAAAATGATATAAAATGCAAACATAAAATTATTCTTTTATCTGTGTTCTTGAGTTAGGAAAAAATAAAAATAAAAACTAGACAATTTCTTGTTCTAATTGAATTGTCCAAAAAATAAACAAGTAAACATTTATACAATTATATATTTTTTCAAAATTTCTTCTAATTAAAAAATAAAAACACAGGGTAAACTTTTTTCCTATATTAATTATCATATTGTTTTTGTGTATATTTTTTGCAGGGTGGCAGATAACGGAAACATAAAAAATTTATGCATGTTAGCAGTAGTAAAAGAAACTATGCTAACATGTGAAGAAAAGAATAGAGAAAGGTGACGTACTGTAAGCAGCACCGGCTAAGCTTCCATTGGAGACATAATCGTAGATTACAAGCTTCTCATCTTCACCCCAGTAAAACCCACATATCTTCACCAAATTCCGGTGCCGGAACTTACCAATTACCCTCACTATCTTCTCAAACTCCCTATTCTTCTCCACAGCACTCTCTCCAATCCTCCGAACCGCAAACGCCATTTCTCCCACACCACCACCGCCCACCACCGCCTTGTACATAATGCTTCCACGGCTTGAACCCAATATATACGCCGATGCCTTCAACAACGTCTCCATGTCCAACTCTGTCTCCCCATCCACCATAACCAAACATCTCTCCTTCTCTTTGTTGTTCATGTGATTTTTATTATGATGATTTCTGTTGTCATGGTCACCCTCGGGTTCGGATTCAGTTGCTGTTTCCGATGTTTCTTCTCTGATTATGAAATGCAAGCAGGAGCAAGAAGTTGCAACGCCACCTTTGGGTTCTTCAACATTGATTTCTTTCGTGTTTTGGTTCGTTTTAGTTTTCCGAAAATGGTATGCGTATAAGAAAAGAACAGCGAGAAGCACGATAGCAGCTATATCTCCAATAACAATGGCTGTAATCTTTCCTGGCTTGACTTTCTGGCCGCCGTGAGTATTCGACTGTCTGGTTGTTTTGGGAATGGCTGCAATGGCTGCGGTGGCGGTGGCGGAACCGTCTGATGTAACATTTGTCGGGATTGAGTGTGATGAAGGAACTGTGCACATTTTCTTGAGCGGTTTCCCACACAAATCTAGGTTTCCGGCGAAGTGCTCTTCTTTCTGATTGTATAAAGGTAGCATTTCTGGGATTTGACCCGTTAGAGTGTTGAACGAGAGATCAACGACGGCGTTTGCCGGAATATTCTCTGCAAATGTCAGATACACAGGACCCGAAAGCTTATTGTTCGAGAGATTCAAATACTTCAACCTCCCTCCTCCAAAATCCAAAGGCAAAGTACCATTAAAAAAATTGGAAGATAAATCCAAAACTTCAACAGAATCAAAGCCACCAAGAACACTACCGGAGAAATAATTATTATTCAACGAAACCTGACTTAGTTTCTTCAAAGAACTCAAACTCTTCGGTAACTTCCCGATGAACCCATTATGGGAAAGATTAAGAACCTGAAGACTCTGCAACCCACCTATCAACTCCGGGAGCTCGCCGGAGATGAAGTTAGAAGACAAAGAAAGCGTTTGGAGCTCCGAGCAGTTGAAAAGCGAAATGGGAAGAGTGCCATTGATTGCATTATTGGAGAGGTCGAGAGAACGAAGGTGTTGAAGACGACCAAAATCCTCAGGGATGGAACCCAGAAGGTGAGAGCTTGGGAGTAGCAAACTGGTGACGTAACCGTATTGGGGTGCACAGGTGACGCCGGACCATGAGCATGGGGTGGCATCAGCATGGTTCCAATTTTGGAGAACTGTTGATGGGTGAGAGAGAAGAGAGTTTTTGAAAGAAAGGAGGATGGTTCCATCGGAGTTGAGACCAGAAACAGAAGAAATTAGCACCGGAATGGCGAAGAAGAAGAAGAAGAAGCGGTGAAGGAGAGGAGTTGTACTCATGATGATATGATTGTTGTTAGTCAATTTTCTGCCTCATAAAAATAGAGGCACAAAGATATTTGAAGAGAGAGAGAGAGACTACTCTTTCAAGCTTCAAGCACAAATTAAGGTATATAAAGAGAGAAAGAGAGAGACTACTCCTTCAAGTTTTATTTGTTTCAATTCTAATTTCCATAAGATAAGTAATTCTATATATATATTAAATCTAAAGAAGTTATCACAAGTAACTTTTATGCATTTAGGTTTTTGCCACAAATGTTTAGTGAATTTGACACTTTTAGTCATTCAAGTGAAAACTTTTATAATTTTGTGTTTTGATTAAGTTTTTGTGCTTTTAGGGTTTTGCCACAAATCTTTTGTAACTTTAACACTTTTCGTCCTTGCAGTGAAAAGTTTTATATTTTGGTGTTTTTGCCACAAATCTTTAATGAATTTGACACTTTTCATCCTTATAGTCAAAACTTTTACATTTTGACATAAAAAACACAAAAAACCTCATTTAGAATTTTGCCACTATATTTTCTCAACTTTGGCAACTTTCACATTATTGCCACAATATTTTTGGATTTTCTCCACCAGTGTCTATTCTTTTGGTTGTCGTACACTTTGGACATCTAATTTTAGGGGTTGTCGACTTTCTCTCCTATTTGCGGTGATTTGCACTTTCAGCACGTATTTTTTAAAGTTTGCCGATTTTCCCCATATTACCCCAAAAGCGGCGTAGCCGCGAGTTCTTCGCTAGTTGATATAATGTGACATAGTTGTTTAACGGGGCAATTATTAATCTAGCAAAATTAAATAATTGATTAGTAATTTTTAGCCAAAAATTAGTAAATGTCCAAATATAGCCCACGAAACCGTAGGTTTTATATTCGTCTACTGTTTCGCCAATTCGTCTACTGTTTCGTGTTTTGTCTAATTTTTTTTTTCATTTCTAAGATACAAAACCATAGGTTTTTTAAAACCTACGGTTTCCTCTCGTTTTAGCTACGGTTTCCCAAACCGTAGCCTAGGGTTTTGGGAAAAAAGTACCTTTTTTTTTCTTTTTCAAGTCTACTGTTTTGGGGGTTTAATCTACTGTTTTGTCAAAAAAGCTACGGTTTTATTTTTTTTATACTATTATTATTATTATTATTATTATTATTATTATTATTATTATTATTATTATTATTACTATTTGTGATATAGAGTATTAAAAAGAATGTTTATAAGATCCAGAATTATTTTAACATTTATTTTGTTAAAATTTTTTGAGAATTCAAAACAGTAGACTTAAAAAAAAATCGTATTTTTTTCCCAAAACCGTAGCTACAATGAGAGGAAACCGTAGGTTTTAAAAAACTTACGGTTTTGTATCTTAGAAATGAAAAAAATATTCAAAACACAAAACAGTAGACGAATTGGCGAAACAGTAGACAGATTACCACAAAAGAGTAGTCAACGCCCCTTGACCGTAGTCAACTGCTGTTGACCGTAGTCAACTATATGTTGACTACTTTTTTGTGGGCTATTTTTGGCTAATAGGTTTTTTTGGCTATTATTTGATAAGTAATTAGCAATTATTGCTAAATTTGTATTTTCCCCTTGTTTAACTACCAATTACACGAGATTACGCTTTTTATTCCTAGTCTTTTTCATTTGTCTTTAATTGGTAGATTTCATTTTACACAAGAGGTTACCTCTTCTATGTTTTGTTTTTTGATTTTTATGTCATCTCCTCCGCATTGAATTCATATAAGTTCAATGCATTGACACATATATATTTCATTCACTATATAATTTTATCTATTAAACTGTACACTTCATTAAACACATATAAGTTTAATGGATTGACACATGTACATTTCACTCATCATATGTGTGTGTGATGAGAGAGAGTGTAGAGTTCAATGTTGATTGAACTATTCATTCTATTGAATGCCATGTCATTAACCCACAATAGGGATTTTGAGTTTAATGAGATTCAACTCCCTATTCAACTCCCTATTCAACTCTCCATTCAACTCCCATTGGAGATGCCTTATTCTCGATACTTGCTTTTTATGCTTTTTTATGCTTGTATTATAATTTATACATTTTATTGTAAAGCTCATTTTGACTTCTTTGTTTGCTTGTATCATTTATACCCTATGTTGAATTTATCCTACAACTTGTGGGTGCTCATGTAGCCGAAAGGCCCCAACGGAGCACCACACCGCTTAGGGCGGCCCTAGCCGGGCCTGCGATTTGGAGACCTTAATATGACAACAATCAACAATCTTCTTCTCATTTCCCCATTATTTTTTCCGTTTGTTTTAAATAAAATGAAATCTATTTCCGTTAACCTCAAACACCTACTTAATCTCCAATATATTTACGTAGTCATTTTACTCTATATTGTTAAAAGAAAATTATATAAGTTTGATAACTGAAAGATGGAATCATCTTCGTTATCATCTTCATGTGGCCATTGGTTGATGGATAGTGACACAATTTTTCACAACAGTCGTGGAAGTATCAACCTTTATTTTGGCTGATGAAGCTAAGAGTCCACGTCCAAAAAGGAGAAGAGTTGCTTTAAACATAGATCATGAGGTTGCACACGAATGTCTCATATGAGACTACTTTTCTAAAATGTCACATATGATGTTTACATGTTTAGACGATTAGTCTTGATGAGCACACACCTATTCTAATAGATTAGAATGTGATGCGAGAGATGGAAGGGTTTTACTTTATTACATAAGCGCACATCCACACTTCGTTAAATAGGATATGACATTGCCACCGACTCTTGGGATGAGTATTTAAAGAAGCCTAAGAAAACTTCACGTGAAAATATTTATAAGATTTGTGAAGGTGTCATAGCCTTTACGACACGCGATATCTGTGTAAACCTACATGGAATGAGATTCAATAATTGTATGAGGCACATGAAACCAAACATGGTTGTCTTAGAGTTCTTGACCAATTGATTGTATGCATTGGGATGAACAAATTGCACTAATGCATAGTGAGGTCAATACATACGATGTGATCATCCACATCCAAATACAATTCTAGAAATAGTGGTTTCATGTGATTTATGGGATTGGCATGCATTCTTTGGTGTTGTCTGTTCCAAAACATCAATGTTCTTGATCAGTCGTTGATATTCAAAGACAACTTAAATAAATTGCGCATGTGTATCTGTTTGAAGCTAATGGAGTACAATACAAGCACATATTATCTTATTGATGAGATATGCCCTGACTTAGTATGTTGCATTTATCAAATTACTCACATGTCTATAAGATAAAAGTGAAAAAAAGTCCAAGGCAACAAAAGAGGCTATGAGGAAGGATGTGGAACGAGCATTTGGTATCCATAAACAACATTGGAAAATAATGAAAAAATCAACATGGGTATGGTCTCTTGAAGTAATAAGAAACATAATCTACATAACATGATTTTAGAAGACAAAGGTTATACGATTTGTACCTACGATGAAACCGACGTTAAACCGTATTATGCCCAAGAAAATATTCAGGAACTACGTACCCAAGAAACTCTTAATAACCGTTGATTATATTTGGCAAAACATATTCACACCACTCAGTTATCCGATGACAAAGAATACTAGATATTTGTATTTTAATTTTTTATTGCTATTATTTGAGTAAAATATATTTTTGGTCCCCGTCGTTTGCACAAAATCTCACATTTGGTCCTAGTATTGGTATTTGGCCATAGATGGTTATTGTTTCATTATTTGGTATTGTCATTGGTCCCTAAGACTAACATGACTAACACAATGGCTCTTATCTTTTTAAATATGACTAGTTTACCTTTATGTATATCCTTTTATTTGGCTTATTATCTACTAATTACTACTATTAATTATAACTTGTATCGCCACTAATACCTCAGCCTTAACCATAACCTCCACCCACCATCACAACCATCAGACCACCAACTATTCTAACATTTAGAAAAGAAAAAAAAAAGATAGCATGGCTTTTACTTATTCAAACATCAAGAAAAATGACTAACATGCCCTTTTCTTATTTAAACTCCAACAACTATGACCATTAGAATCACACCACGACTACTCTCACTACCATCACATCACTATCATGTTGTCACCACCCCTATAGAAACCACCATTCGACCGTTACCACCCTCACAATTATACAATTACAAGAATAGAAATGTCAAAACAAAGACAATAACACACAACAAATACAACCAAACTTGATAGATTTTCTAGTTAAAGTATGCATTCTTTCAAGTCAAAACCAAAACAATAAGACATAAATGAAGCTTAATAAACAAAAAATTAACAGCCAAAACTTTAAATGGTTACTGAATCATCCTTACAATGTGTAACTTCTTGAATTTTATCCAAAAGATTGTTCACAACCATAAAAAAATGTAGTAAGACTACAAAATCATCAGTTGTAGCAACATCGAATGGGAATATTTTTGAGACAATAAGGGACAAATTATTCAATTGCTTCAGCTGATGGTAATGATGCAATCTTTTTGCTCTAAACCCTATAACCAACACCCTATACCTGATCAAGAAAAATGTTAACCAAAACTCATTTTGAAGAACATAATGAAAATACACATATTCATCCAAAAACTATAAATCAAATCAAAAATTAAAAATAACGCAAAATCAAATTCAAGTTTATAATACCAAAATGAAACCAAATTTTGAACTGAATTTTTAAATCCATATCTAACCACTAAATCAATTTGAACCAAAGAAGATGATGAAAAATCCAACCCACTACAAACAAAATCCAAAGTAGGAGGATAAATCTGTTGGGTTAAGGTGTCTAAAGCTAGTAACTAAATTGGTATATTCTTATAATTAGAAGCAAAGTCCTTTTTGGGTTGTCCTCATAACTAGATATTTATTAGAATGACATTTATAAAGAGAGGGTGATTTATTAGATTACTATATGATTAACAACTAATTGGAAATTATGAGGAAATGATTTATTACTATATTATATGATTAATATATTAATTGAAAATAGAAAATTGATGTGTTAATTTATATGCTTAATAAATTAATATGAAATCAATTAGAATTAATTAATTATAAATCAAAATTAATATGGAAT